TCAGAGAAAAATAAGATTTAAGCTGACTACGTCGTAAGGATAGTTCCACTTAAGAAAAGGATAAACACTTCAATCCCGGTGTATAATTGAACCAGCGACCTGTAGATCTTAATAATTTACGTCGTTACCACTAGGACAGCAGTGTTTATCGTATGTAATTGTACGGATAAACTCATATGAAGTACAGTATATAATTATTATATATACTGTATATATAAATACTGTATATATACTTAATAGAAAAAAAATGGTAGAGTTGTTTTGAGTTTCAAAATGTAATAAAAGTACAAAATCTATTAAATCTATATTATCCAAGATATCCAAAAGAATATATTTTTTTAAATGAACTGATACAATGCTAATATAATAATATGAAAAAAAAGGATTATTAGTGTGATTTTCTTTGTTTTTAGATTTATTAAAATTGTATACTAACTAATTACACTATTTAATTTAATACACAAAGTCGTGAAAATTTAAAAATCATAAAGGTTGATAGGAAAAATTTTTATTATAAAAATTATTTATCATCTCATTAATAAACAAGATCATAAATCATGGCAACGCTGTTAGCTTGAAACTTGGTATGGAAAATGGACAAATACAGTTTATCGACTATAAAAAAATTAGAGTATCTAAAGGTAATTATAACTCTAACTGGTAAAAAATAGAATTATAAGTTTGAGTAACTATTCCATAAGAATGAACGGGAATAGACGAATGTTGCGTGATAAATAAATAAATAGATTATTGTATATAATCATTCTTTACACATAGGATGATGGCATTTCTTAAAAATTTAAAAAGTTTAAACGGGGTCCATACTGATAGAATGTGTAACTGAACCTAGAACCTGCAGATTCCGATTACTTACGTATTAGACGATCAGTACACCCCCCATTTAATTCAACTATGTCGCTCATCGATTTATTTTAATACCTAGTAATGTTAAAAAACGTAAGAAATAAGTAATATATACAGTATATGTGCGTGTTACTAACAAATATATATTCATTAAATAAGTACTACCCCAATTATATTTAATTTAAAATCCGTAAAATCCATAAAAAAAATCGACAGTGCTCTTTTCAATTATAAATATTTATGTCATAAATCGTTTACTTATGTATTTAGGCCTCTCAAATTTGCATAAAAAACTAAAATAAAAAAAATAATGCTTATATAATTATTGTTTGCACAAAGAATGATTGCATTAAATTAAAACATAAATATCATAGTAGGCTGGTGCGTGTAACTGACTGCAGATTCCTACGTACCACAAGGCCATGGTATTTAGGTTCATTAATCAATTATACTTTATTTATCCGGAAAAACAGACTGTTAGAATTCTTTTTAATTATGAACATTACGGTATTGAATCATTTACATTATATATTAGGCCTCTCAAATTATTTGAAAAAAATGTTGAAAATGAGTCATTAATTATTAGAAAGTATGAAACTCAATATGATTAAACGGCCAAAAATATTCGTTAAATAATTTGTTGACTACCAGATTTTAAAAGCAATTATAAAACTTTAATATGAAAGTTTCTGTGTGAAGTTGTAAAATATTTATTTACGGCAATTAGATATATACATGCGATAATGCTAAAACTTATAGAAATCCTTTTTGTATTCGCAACTGGAAATTCAATTAATTAGCGAAAAAAAATGAACCGTCTATGCAAATAAAGTTCTACAACATATTTATTCACTGCATAAGGGATGCAATAATTTTAGAAAAATAAACACCGCTGTCACCTAGTGGTAAGCTGTAACTGAACCAAGAACCTGCAGATTCTGGCTACCTACGTCACTTTATGGTCAGAGACGATCTCACTTGAGACAGCAACGTTTATTATATTGTAATGTTTATCAAAAACTTTTAAGCCTTCTGTGCCGCAGAACTGAAAAATATGTAACAAAAAAAAATAGTAAAAATATCTTGTTAATGTATTTAAATTCATAAATAATCATAAACATTATTATAAATAATTTACGTTATATACAATACTTATTTAGGGCTCTTAAATTATAAAAGACGTTGTGATTCGTCAGTTATTAGAAAGTAATTAAAACGGATATGAAAGCTTTTGTAAAAACATAAAACATTTACATTTAAGCTAAGAATTATATCGAAAGCCTATACAGAATTGATAGCAATTAGATACTGTATAATAGCAAAAATTTTTTAACCAAATATAATTTTGAAAATAAATACATAATGCTAAAATTTTTACAAGATGTGGAAAACGGCGAGTATTTTAGGTAGGTTATTTAGCACACAGTATCACACTCCCCTGTTTCCTTTTTTCCTGCTTATTGTACGAACTTAGTTTTTTATTAGTATGGAAATTCCTATTTGTACCCATTATTTAGTGAAATCGTGGAAAACTCTATGTTAAGAGTAGAAAAATATTAATACGTTTTTACGTTTTACGGATAAATAAATAAATTCGATAATTGACAAACTCAATACTCCAAACGGAGAAAAAATAAAGTTTGAGCAACCATGCAAATGGAATAATCCGCTTGAGAAGTTTAAGCGATTGTTAAGCGATTGAATTTTCAAACCAAAAAATTGTGTGGTATTTTCTATCTATGTAAAAGATGATAGGAAAAAAATTTGCTAATTAAAGTGCAGCTATCTTAGTATCAATGTGTAACTGAACCAAGATCTGGTTACTTACAGTACATCACCCGGACCACCAAGACAGCCACACTTTAATTACTCGTCGATCTTTTCATTGTTAAGAATTAACGTTAATTGTTTCGTTCTTAGAAAAAAGTGACAGCTCATCAAATACAAGCAAAAATAAATATTAAATTATAGAAATAACGAAGCAAATTAATACCGTTTAAATACTTTTTGGAACATCAACTTTTTATCTCTTTTAGGTTATTAATAATGGGTATATGAACTAAAAACCTTGAATTATACTTCGAATATTCGAACAACTTAATAGTCTCATTCAACCCAAAAATCATACATTTATGACATCAGTAAAATCGGTAATATAACTTGTTGGTATGCAATTTACAATAACGAACCAAAAAAAAAAAAAAAAAAAAAAAAAATACACTTAATTTTTTTAAATAGTTTAATTCGGCCGTTTTGGATAATGTTTTATACACCCTTTCAAATTTATATAAAGACGGTAATCACGGTATAATTGTATAAATCAAAAATTTGAATCCATAAAATTATTATCGACCGTTAACTTGTTTTCTCATACTTTTTAATTTTCATTATTGTTCAAAGAAATTCTTGTCCGCAATTAAATTTCTAAAGAAAATCACAAATTGTTTAACTCAAAATTGTTCACGTGACTGAAAAAGTTTCGTCCATTTGATAGATCACTAGGAAGCTCGACTTGCACTCCTTAAAGTCGGAATAAGTGACCTAAAATACTGGCAATTGTTTTGCGGAATGTGCATTGTGCATAAAATGGCACCGTACACACATCACTCGACTGTACTTGTACACTTGTACAACTATTTTAAGTTTAATGAAATATTTATTTCGGCTAATTTCGAGATGTATCACAGAAAGAAAACAACTAGAATTATTTGAAGCGTAATATGATTTATATTGTTTTAGCCTACTAACAATGAAGAATATGCAAAGTATTACAACTTAGTATAATTGCCATATCGTGGATTTGCCGTATATCCAATATATATTGGAACGTTTCTAACAATTCGCGCGAAAGTATTCGGAAAGTCCATGATAGCATTTAGGCGCCAGAGATAATGTTGTGTTCTAATACGAAAATAAAATAATTGCGTCGTATAACATTTACTATGTAAAAGTTAAAAGAATGAAAGGTAATAGTAGTACATGTACTCATCAATTTATTTATAGTTCTGTATCAGTAGCAGTAGCAGTTCTTTTAAACATCCAATTAATAGGTTCAGTTATTTTTTATTTTTTTATTTTTTCTTAATATAGTAATAAAACAATTTTCTTTTAAATGTGAAAATAAACAAACAATCTAAACTATAATCATTTTTTTCATTGAAACTTCAAACTTAACGTTGTATATTCATAAATAAATACCATATTTTATCGTATCAGATATCCACATATCCACATATAGTAATATAAAAATATAAACCATCTTATACTGCCACAAATGTTTCTTTGTTTTTCATTTATGTACAAGTTGTACAACTAACTTAGCCAACTATTATGAATCTCGATAAAGGTAAAATTCATAGAAAAAAAAAGAGACTCAATTAGAATGATACCATTTTATTATTATCATTCAGATTCATATTATACCGGTCCAAAAAAGTCAAATTTCGGCAGGGAACTAAACTAAATCAACTTACAAAAACGTTCTGTACATATAAAAAAAATTCTAGCAACATCTCACCATTCTTATGATACCATTGATCATCGATCTAATGTTCTTAAATGTTCGTTCATTTGGTTGTGCCTTTATTTACTAATATTATCAACAATACTATAAAAAAAGAAACCGTTCATTCTTTAATCAAAATGAAAAGTACTTTCATTCATATTTGACTTAACTAAGTTATCGTTCGGTGTACTAGATCATCTATCTAATCTTATCATTTATTCACTCGTACTTTTTCAGTTTCATAAAATACTAATATCAATGATATTAAAATCATTCGTTCTTGCTTTCATTCATAAATAACCAAAATTAGAAAGATTTATAAAATCAAAGAAAGAAAATGAATATAATTTTTTATGGTATACCATTTCGTTTAGAGAATTTTTATATATATATGGTGTCTGTTCCGCCGTTATTTTTATTAAAAATTCATTCTTTACCCTTGTTACTTCTTGATCACTTTATTCATATATTCTATTTGATAACTATCTTATTGTTTTATTCTTTTACGTAAAATAATAAACTTAATACAAAAAATATCATTCCTAAAAAAAACCAAAATAAAATAATTTTATTTTTATTTTCAATTTCTTCTTCCAATTCTTTAATTTATTGAGCAAAACTCTCAGCATAAATGGCATCAGGAGCTATACATATCATAAGTAAATTATTGAATCCTATACCTCAATATGTGTTGGGCTGTTTACCAGCCATAGCAATTATCGGAATATCCCCAAAGGGGAAGTTTGCAGAAAAGTTGACATGGGTTTTGCGATGTTTTGGTTGTCCATTTACGGGATTGCTCTATTCTTGTAACGTAGGGAAAGATGAAGTAAAGCTCTGTATTTACTGGCTTTCATCAAAATATTTTCAAACCGAAGAAGAAAATGGACAAGGAGAGGGAGGACTAAAACAACTTTATCACAGACCTGTCGGAGTTTACGCAATGTCAGTGAGCGAGGACCAGGATAATTATAATGATATAAAAGATATAATTAACCGATGCACAGCAAGGACATCGGTTCTAGAAAGACTGTCGTCATTGGTGTCAATATATTACATCATCGTCGGTGTGATCGCAGCAATATCCCGGACGACCGGGCAGTTTAGTTGTGAAGATTGGCCATATATATCATTGTTGTTATCCTGGACAATTCCAGCAGTTTTCAAGAGAGCATTTTCGGGAACTCTAGTTGTAAAAGATCCTGATGTAGAGTTTGCGCCGCGAAAAATAAAGAAATCAGAAAGTGAAGGAGGTAATGAGATTGTGCACAAACCACAAATAATTATGAAACCAGTCAGTGGAAGCCACAAAATTCAGAAATTTTTTACCGTTTTACTGGTTGCCTTTATATCCATTTCATACCCCTGGATAACGGTATTTTTAGCATTTTACACACCACCAGTTGGGTATTATTGCAGAAGCAAATTTCTGAGCATATTTTGCTCCATATGGTCATTTAACAGTTTTTTGGCATATATAAGCCACTTGAAAAAAGAAGACCACGTGGAAGGTCATTCGTGGATTCATATTTGGTTTTCCTTCTGTGGCTTTATATTAGCCATTTTTTTGTTTATTCTAGCCTTGTTTACCAATAATATCGAATGGTGGGGTATGTTCAATGATCCTAATTGTTCTACAACCTGTGGGATCTAAATTTTAATCAAAGACCGAAGGTCTTTAGGAAATAACATATTTTCAAAGGCCTAAAATAATTATATACTATTACATTAAAGAATAAGTCAAAACTAAGGTTATTTGTAAAGGGAAATTGATTTAAAATGTATAATATTATTATCTTTTTTTTTTGTTGAATTTTCAATTTATATTTGTTATCAATAATAATAAATAAAAATATATTATTACTAAACCAATATCTCGTTGAAGTTGGAATTGAAAATGAATTCTGAAAGAAAAAAAGAAATGTTCAAGCTTTTATATAAAGTATAAATTATGTTTTGATATAATTTCAGAATTTAGTATATTCAAATTGGTTCTGTAATCTGTATAACTAGGCTAAAATTTGCGATGACATCACGTGAGGGCAGAAAAATTCACGTGATTGATCATTTTTTATAGTAATATAGCCCATCGCTTCGCCCCTAACAACTAAGAGTAATAGAGTCTCCGAAGTGTCTCCGAAATGTTCCAAAATTAATTAAGCGGTATTGCGCAATTGAATCTTTTCGTTTAACTTCGTAATAACTTTTTGATCGGAACATCGGTAAAACTGTGTCCTCATAGGTAACGTAGATAATAAGAATAATTACAGGTTTTTGATTCAGTTACCAAGATTTGGTTCTTCTTTGTAATAAACGAAAAATATCGTAAATATATATATACTGTATGTACTTTTCGATTATTATATATAGTTACTACCGTATATTATTTTACTTACTATATATTTGTAAAGTTCATTGTTTTCTCTTTATTTAGTGATTTTAAATTGTCTTAGATGTTGATACGCAAGTATTTTTTAAAATTGTACTTGTACTGACGTCTGAAATTCTTTAACTGTTAATGGGTCACATGGTGACCATAACCTATTAAGTGGTAAAATCTTTAACAGAAAAATATTCAGCTCCCAAAAATAGCTTAATAAAACTTTACTTTGTGTGAAGATATACAGTTTAATATTTATCCTGCATAAAATTGATGGCAATTAGATGCATCATAAATGCACAAATGAATGCGGGAAACTCTTTTATACTTAGATTTACACTGACGGATTCACATTATATATGGGAAGTGAGCTGCCTATGCTGTAAGGATAGTCCGTTAAGAAATGATGTTGAAATAACTTTTAAATACACGAAAAGTTATTTCTATTCTAACGTCGTTGTATAATTGAACCAGAATCCTAATTATTTACGACACTTACCATTAGGACAGCTTGTATTTATCGACTATAATTGTCCGTCAAATTCATAATATTATTTAATTTAATATACATTTAATATACAATGTCATGAAAATTTAAAAACCAACGTTTGACAAAAAAAAAAAAAAATCGTCTAAAAGTAACTTTAAAATATAAATTTTCTCACACGGAATTGACGGTAATTATAATATGCAATAACAAAAATTACATTATTATCCTTAGGTTTAAAAAGAGAACTAAATTAATCCTCTTTTGAATTAATAAATCAAAATTTTAAAATTTTAACTAGTGAAAAATAAGGTTTTAAGTTTGAACGATTATTCCATAACGATAATAATAGTCAGTATAAGGGAAAGTATTATGAATGGACAAAAATTGTTTATATAATTATTCTTTTCCATAGGATGTGAAAACTTTAAATGGTGGCGAAATTGACGGTATGTGTCCGCCGATTAGTTACGCCACATGTCTTAGACCCTCAGGATAGCCAGCGATTTATTTTAATGTTAAAAAAATGTAAAAATTAAGTATAAAAAATATATATAGAGCTTATTAAATACTAACTCGATTATATTTAATTTATCAAGAAAAAGATGAAACGGCTGTCGTTATAGTAAGGTATAACTGAAAGAACCTGCAGTATTCCGGTTACTTACGTCGCCAAAGGCCGGTTGAATACTAGGACAGTATCGTTTATTTAACTAGTCTTTTATCAACTTTTTAAGCTTTCTGTGACGCAGAAAAAAAAGTAAAAATATGTATTAGTATTTTTTGAACAACAAACCATATTAGAAAAAGCTGTAATTTAAACATATGATCATGTGATACAACGATTAAACTTTATAATTATTATAGTAATTTTATAAAAGAATAATTTAATATTTTGATAAGAAAGTTTTTGTTTAACGTAAAACATCAATTTAGATAAGCAAAAATTTTAGCCAAATACTATTTGTGCGATGTAGTAGAAAACTCTGTCAAGAGCAACATATTTTTAATTATACGTGATATTTCTATCTCTACAAAGGAAAAAAATGCCAATTAAAGTGTAGGCTGTCTTAATATTAATGTGTAACTGAAACAAGAACCTGCAGTATTTCTTGTTACTTACGTCACTCAGACCACTAATTCATTTGTCCTATTAGGAAAAAGTAACAGCTAATCATAGACAAGCGAAAATAAATACCATTTAGCTACTTATCTAACATTTATGTCTACAACTAATCTTTAAGTATAATAATTACAAAATTATAACTTTCTATTTGATTTATCCTTATGGAAAATATGGTATCCAAAGTTTATACACAAAATGTCTGATTAAATGGAAAGACAATTTCAGACTGCTGAAACATAAAAGATTGTCCAGTATTTGCCCGTAACTTCAGATTTTTATCCATAATTTTTCCATTATACATTTGAAATTTGTCTATATAGTTACTACTGCCGTTATTAATAATTACGGCATTTCAGATTACAATCTGAGTTGCAACTTTAGTTTCGGATTACGGTTTAAAATTGCAGTACGAAACGTCATAATACGCGTATTTCAAATTAATGTGATCAGTATGATCGGTGTTATAGTGATAACACTGTGATAACAATGATGTGAAAAAATTCTCTGCTAAAAACAATATGGATTCGGGTGAATGTACCTGAGGAGTTAGAATACCTTACCGAGGTCGAAGAAATATTGATTGCACAAATTTTTCCCATCATCTCGGTATATTATCATCTTTGCGGAGGATAGTAAGCCTACCGCAAACTTTCCTCAGGATATCAGATATAGGAAAGTTTGTAACACGGCTTTCACAACATCTGCTTGTTATGCTTCGGACCTGAACGGTTTGCGTTCCCTAGTTTAGATTAATTTAAATTTAATATTTGATTAATTCATGTGACACATTTAGAATTAAAACTCGTGAATTAGAAATGTTACAGAATCCTTAGATAAATTTAATTTTTAGTAAATTTATTTGATATAAAGCATTTCACGATAATTTATTTGGGTTTTTTTTTCTACGCACCTACATAAATTGCAAGGGCGCATAAAATTTTAAATTTATTATAAAAATTTACAATTATAAAAATAATAAAAAAAATTAAAAAAATGAAACTTAAACAATCTAACTACAATATCTACAGTATAATTAAAACAATGATAAATTAACAATTTTTCGTCATAAATGTCAATTAACAACTCCATAAGAGTATGCAGAGATATTTTTTTTGACACTGGTAAATATGATTATTATAAATCATGGTCAATTATCTTAATTATTGCGATTTTACAAATAATAGCCGGTCCATTTCTTTGCTGAATCTTTGATTTTCATAAACATATCCGTCACTGATAGATGGTATCTATATATTTAACATATTTAATTTATGTAATATTATTTTTTTTTTTTTTGTAATATAAATAACATATTTTGGAAAATATATATTACTATGGATACAGTATATGCAAAAAAAATATAGCAAAAAAATGACTGTTACGTTTGTATGTATTTCTTAATTTATTATATTTGCAATGCTTACATAGTATTCAGTTTGAAATGTATATATTTATGGCTTATTGCATATTATGAAACCTTTCGATATTTATTTTAAATTACTAGTCATTACGTACATCACGTGATTAATATTAAACTCGGCATTTTAATAAAATTTTAAACTATCGAAACTTCCCCCTTTTAAAAATTTCGAAACTTTTCCCCTTTCCTTCGTACTTTCCCCCTATGCCTTTCCTTATCCCTCATCCTTTCTTTCTCTTCCCTAATTCTTCAGTTCCCTCTATAAATTTCTTAATAATTAAAGAAACGTTTAATAAACAATTCGATTTTTTCTTAAAAAAAAAAACTTTTTCTTTTACCGGAAATTCTTAATTTTTTTATCATCTATTTTTCTTATCAATTTACTTTACTTTTGAACAAAATTTAGGAAATCGGCTTAACAGGAATAACACTGCGCCTGGCCATAAAAAAATGGCAGTTCTGAACGTTATACAGAAATCAAATAGTCCAAAAAAAAAACCGAGAGGAAGAAGCCTTCCAAATCTGAATCTCCTTGAAAGCTTAATCGACCTTGAACAGTGACCTCTCTCCCAAATCCAAATTCCAAAAAATTCCTCCAATCCAAAGAGCGTTTATAATTCATAAAATCCATTCTAGATTGCCATTAAAAACTTTTGGTATTTCTTAGAACAAAAAATTCTTGTTTACATTTATTTACCTAGTAGTCTCTAATGACAATCTATCTATACTATTGTTTTTTTTTGATCTTTGAGTTAAAGGAGCCGAAAGTATTTTAAGACCAAATAAATCCGATGATAAAGTGTAAATTAATATTAGTATGTCAACGGCTAAAAATAATGTACACATCGATGATAGCGTCGGAAACTCTATTAGTGAACGATGGATTTGATACTAGTAGGTAAAATAAAGAATATAATACTAAATAATAATAAATAAGAAAATCAGTAATCAATTAAATTAATCTTTAAAATAATATAAATAAAATAATATTAAATAAAATTTCTTACGTTGAAATTATTAGATGTGGTGTATTTTTAACCTTTAATAACATGAATGCTAGATCCACGGCAATATCTTGCATTATAAAACAGGTCTCAAATATCGCCGAGTTTTTTCCTTTGGGATTTTTTAGACGCGCCAAAAAGGATGAATTCTACATGTGATACAAGTTAATTACCATGTTTGATAACATGGTGGTTGAAATTGTGGATTGACTTTTTTCATCATTCTTCTAAAACCATTTCCGTTCACTTCGTTTAATTCTTTTTGTTTAGGTTCAATTTAAAGTTGCTCCTATAATATATACAGTATATAATTAATATTATTCTTTAAATATATAAAAAATTTTTGTAGTCATACATACCGCTTTCTTTTTTTCATAAACTTTATGGGTTGTATTCAAATGATAATTCATAGAACTTGTTTGGGAATTATAAGCACAAGAAAAATCATAAATTTTTTCTACATATCAATAGTTTCAATAAGTTTTCCATCTGTTGCCAACTTAAAATATTTCCAAACCCAACTCGTTTTATTGGATATTTAAATTTTCACGAATATTTTCAGTTCTTTGCCTTTTGTTTGAAGGTGCTTCTATATTTATGAAGCTCTTTTTTTTACTTTTACTTGAACTAGGCATATTTGATATGAATAAGTATTTTGTTTCTTTGTGATAGAATTGATAGATTAAAAAAAAAACACAAAATCAATGAGTTTCAACTAATTTTGTATAAACCCCTGAATACGTTGATTGAATATCTCATTGTATGAACTATAAAACTGACATTTTGGTAGAAGGTTTCATGATTTAAATTGCGTGAATTGCCAATGTATATTATATAGATACTGTAATATAGCGATATGAGCGATATAAGTAAATATAATGAAGGATGATCGTGATAAAAAATTGAAAGATTCTGGTATTACTGAAAACGAGATCCAGAACTAAAATCGTACCTATAAAAATAATAGTCAGTTTAAAAATATAATAAATATATATTTCATTTAAATTTAATAATTTAACAATATTTTAAACATACCATTAAATTCTCTTCTTTAGTTAAAAAAATTTTTAAAAAATATGTATATTACTTGTTGAAAACGTCCAAATATTCTCTATAATTCCCATTAAAGGTTCATCTCTCTCTTGAGTGGTACATAGTTTATAATCTCCTTGTTGTAATAGATCCGGTTTATCCCGATCATCATTTATTAGAAATATCGAAAGATAACTTCACTGGAATGGTATATTTGATCGTGATTGAAGGATCAATAACTTCATTAATAGCTGGCTTTGTTGTTTCAATTACGGGACAATTATATCCAGTACCTAGACAAAAAAAAAAAAAATATTAAATATATATATGTGTGTGTAAAGAAAGAAAAGAAATTAAGAGCTTACTCTGATTGATTTTAATAAAAACTCTAATTTATTGCTACCGATTCTTTATTTCAAAAATAGTATTATTTATATGAACATATTAAAATAAATGAATTCTGGCCTGAAAGATCCCCATGATTGCACCGTAAATATGTTCCACAAGAAATCTTCCATAATATAAATTTCTCAAATCAACGTCCATATTATTTGTTGGATTAGTTATAATATATACATATCCTTCAGCATTATAAGTCGTAGTACATAATTTAATTATTATTTAATTTTTCGGTGGTAAACTCTCCAGTATTGAAGATTTGGATCTTTTATTATTGATGATCCAGTTGTTGCAGTGTTTCAACCAAAACCTCCATCTATTAAATGAAAATCTAAACTATCTCTATGGTCTGGTGTAAAAAAGTTGATACACCAATATGCTATTCAGTTAATAAAAAAATTTTTTCTTAAAATTTTTTAAATTATTTTATTTATAACTTAAGTTTTAAGACATACTGTATTTAAACGTAAATTTATTAAAGTTTTAAAGTTTTCAATTTATATAAAATTTTTTATTATTCATCAAATTCTTCAACTTCGGAATCTTCATTTCATTTTCGGCCAATAACATATCGTCACATAAATATTTATATTCTTTCTCGTCTTATCAAGAAACCTTTTCCAAAATCCAACTATAACTTTAGAGATAACCTTTTTCTTAAAAGCATACAATAATTTATCGCTAATAGCGAGAAGATTAGGATGAGGACTGGTTCCCTTTACAGTAGACCAAACTCCCTTGATCGGTGTAGTTCACAATGGTAAGGTGGGGTATACGAAGTAATGTCCATTTTGAAATATATGGCTATTTTCTTCAAGTTTTTGTCGTAATACATGTGTTGAATGTGGACATCGGAAAAATTTGCAGAAATAACAAGGCCGCGTATAAGCTCAACAACATCACAGTTAGGCACTTTTTTTGGTCGACCGTGGTTTTTTTTTTGTGGTAAGGTCTCATTTTATTATATTCAGCAACTACACGCGCAAATGTTGCCTCTCTAATAACAAGAACTGTAGCAACCTCCTTGCATAGTATAAGTCTTGATGTTGTTTCTAGTATTGTCAAATATCTAAAAATTATTGGTGGATGTGAATAATCATTTTTTTTTCGTTGCTAGTTAAAAAGTTTTGGTCGTATCCACTGAGAAAAAAAAAGGTGGGAACGTTTCTTACCTATTATGATATAATTGTTATGATGATTTGATTGTCGATTTTTGTGGAATACTTACTACCAATTTAGGTAATGATTTTCGTGTATCAACATTGCACTAAGGTATATGATAATAAGTTTAGTGCATGAAATTCACGTAAAAAAGTTAATAAATATTTCAAAATACTTACGGTATACTAAACTGACGCCCTTCTTTATCTGGTTTTTCAATATAGTATGCTATGTTCAACAAATCCGTTAGCATTTCTAAATGTATTCCGCTAAAAAAATACTATCATTTAAACTTACTTTATAGACTCATTGCTGTAGCCATATAATACCATTTGTTGTTTTAGTATAATACAACATTATATAATTATCAGCTAAAGGTAAAAAATCAATATTAATGGGGCAAACTGCTTCCACAGAAAGAGTGTAATTAAGTTCTATATAATTGATTTGTCCTGTTATTTTGTTTATCACTTGTAGATGGAAATAAGGCATGAATCTTTACCTTCGAAGGTCTTCAGTTCTTCATAAATGAATGATATTTTGGGGTATATATCTTGGAGGGATGTATTTTGAGGTAATATATATCTCGCGATGATATGTTTTGAGATGAGACGAAAATGCAATAAGTGGATATTAAATAATAAAGGTGGTCAACACCTTTAAATTCAACATTTTTAACCAAGAGACTTGAAAAATGTTAAATTTTTTACTTGGGGGGATTACAGAACATTTATATATACAGTATATGTTTCTCATCATTTATATCTTGATTCAAAAAACAAAAGAAAAAAAAACCAAACATGTTTCAAAAAAAAAAAAAGAAAAAAAACAAACGTGTTTAAAAAAAAGAGAAAAAAAAAATCCCCCCAAAAAAAAGGGGTGGAGGAGATGAATGATTATTGTCAGTAATACAATTTCAAGCATTTCAGTCTAGCTATTATTATACTACTTTCAAAAACCGATCTGCATTGTTTTATTCACATATGTAAAAAAAATGCTGTAAAAAGTATGTTATAGAAATTTGAACTAGTCTATTAATAGTTAATTAGAAATTTAAATGGAAAAATTAATTGTTTACGTCTGACTCTCTTTAAAAGCTTGTATTTGGTATGCACATGCGTTTGGTATCAAAGAAGTTAGTAGTAAAACATCTATTACCTTGTACAATAAACTTTGGAAGCAATTAAACCATAAGCACTGGGATCATAAACAAACATATTGTAAATTATGGTCACAAATAATATTTAAATTTTTTAAATTTATTAAAATTTCTCATAATTTTAGTGATATTTTGGTGTATTATTATTCTTCGTCTATCGATCAGCTATGTTTCATCTTTCTATGATCATTGGATGCAAAATGGCGCAATAAACAAGCCAATTTGCTGACATTTTGACATATTATTCCTCATCTATTGTGTCTAGAGACATGAAACCATTACCAACTGAAATGGAATGGAAAGATATTCATAAAAGTTTATATCTTAATTTAGCGTAAACAATGAATAGAAAATGGAGCATTTTAACATGACACATTCCTATTGTTATTATCATTGGTTAAACCAATCTATTTTAAGATAACAATCCATAATAAATTACGGAGACATACTACATGTTACAATACACAACTCAAAATTAGCTTATAAAGGGTAATCTAAATATATAATATTTACTAGAGATACAGTAAAAAATTTAGTTATTCCGTGTTTTTTTATTCATGTCATTTCTGTAAATGTAGTATCATATTCACGGAGTTTTTCAGATAATTGCGTTTTATAGGGTTGTATTAGTCATTGACAAATCAAAAATCCGTAAAACTGCCGATCCATTTTTCCAAGAAATTTCTGGGACCAGCGGTCTCGGAAAAGTACCAAGAAATTTTTTATTAACAGTGAATAAAATGAATTAATTTGTCTTCTCATATATAATTCTTTATCAACTTAGATTATCTACCCTGCACAAAACTTTTTTAAATTTTTATAAAAACAATAAAAGACGAACGTGAAATTAAATTTATCGTGATCACGTAATTGATGATCAATTACTTTCAACCTTTTATAGTCGCAAAGAAACTTGAGATTTTGTGTCGTTGATCTCGTATTACATGACTTTTTGATAATAGAGACGAAAGACATATGCTGGGTATAAATTATTTAAAGTATTGAAACCGATCGTTATTTTTTTGGATTTAACATAGTTTCTCTAATATTTAAGACAATATTTATATAATCCTTAATTGAAATATCATGATCCCGTTAATAATTAAACAATTAAATAAAACCATCAAATATTTAGATGAATTTAATTGATTTGACTTACCATTAATCTATGTTACAGAATACACTTTGGAAAATTCATCACCAATTCTTTAAATTTATCAAATGTTATATACATGTTATTCATTACAACTTTTATATGAATTTGCAGTATACTGACAGTATTAAATTTTAATAAACAGACGCTAATTATCAAATGTACTGTAAATAATGGTCGTATAGTGATGTAAAAACAGCACCCATTTTCATTATTTTCCCTCTCTTGATAATAATTTAACTTTATTTCCTAATCGGCAATTAACAATTTGATCCGTTCGTATAAAGAACCGAAAAGCTTTAAATGTAGCAAGACACACTATTTTGTCAGCGTTATTAATGACTATATTTCACATCATTTTTTTAGTTAAGGTCAGAAACACTATTGTTTTTCTATAATTTTAAATATTTAATGATATTCGGAATTTTTTTCGGATATTCCGTCGGAATAAATCTAAAGCACTTTTCACTATATGTAATATCATTAATTACCGCTCCTTTATTATTTATAACTATAAAATTCGTAGTAATCTCCCGTTTGGAAAAGTGAAATCTTTAATATTTGAATAAGTTAAAGGGATATGATGATTTTCTTTGTTTTATGATTACATTTAATTTTCATACTAAAGTATTTATAATATTAGAAATATTTAAGTGAAGATGCTACTGTATGTAACTGAATTCAATATAAAGAACGGTCAAATTTCCAATTTCATTTCAGATTCTTTAAAAATTTTCTTCAATAATTTCATTTAGTTATAAGCGGTGATCGACATATAGTATGATATGGGACGATTAAATGCATTTTAAACGTTTTTCAGAATCCTTCTAATCTGACTTATTAAACTACTTCTAAAGTAATACTAAAGCAATCATGTCAAAGCAAAAAGAATACTCAGTTTCACTTATTTCTGCAGGAGAACTTATAGACAACTTGCATTATGGACCATATGCTAGAGAATGGCGGTTAGCTCGCCCGAACTAATAATAATATAGTACCTTTTATACATCCAATTCGTCTTGGTATGAAACACTTACTACAATAAAAACAACCCGGATATACATGTCGTTCTGAAGGTTTATGTAGTAACGTATGTTATTAATAATTCATCACAAGCGATTACTTCAGTATGTCAAAAAGCCTTTTCTAATAAAACAAAACATGCAGGGCCTTTGGTTATGGGATTTGACATTCCGCATATATCTGAAACATTACTTTCAGATGTACATTTTCGTCCCTTTGCTTTTTAAGGTAGAGAATTTGAATATAAAAAAGTTTTTAGTATTGGTGTATCAAAAAATCCTGATTGGAATTATGCGGGTGAAGGGTATAAAAGTTTTTTTATACATGATTATGACCATTCTCGATCATTATTTTTTCAAGAATTTGACAATGATTAAGCAATTTTTAGAATTTATAAAGAATTTCAAGAAATATGCGTAACAAAATTTAAAGGAAACACCCTCTTTGGACTTGAACATAATGAAATAAAATTAGTAATTGATCGAGAAATAATTCCTTATTGTACGACCGATGACTGGAAAAATGAAGAAATTACTATGAATAAAATTTTCAATTACCATTTTAAAAAACGTGTTTTAACGGCATCTATTAATTGGAAAAATCTTTTTATTAAATGGCAAATCAAAAAAAGTAGTATTATTGAATTAACACAAAAACTAAAAGAAATATATCCAGTTGGTTATATTATCAAAGATCGTGAATTTCGGGCGTGGAAAGCTTAATTGCGTCATGATGCTGGTTGTATTAAGATAACACCTTTTAAAAAAGAACTGAAGATTCTGAGGGTGAGGTAACTAATTAAAAATTCAATTTTAGCCCTGTTCAATTCTAGATCGATCGCAAAATGTGCCCCTAAATGATTGGTTACAAAAACGATCAGCGGTCAGTCAAACCACGAAAATAGGTGTTCGCCTCTGATCGATTTTGATAAACTAAACTAACGTGACGCGACTGACGCGTGCCAGCGACAAACCACATTTATTGTTTATGATATGATCCGATCGAGCTATAACTGTGGTTTTACTTGTTAATTTTTTTTCCGATCCGAGCGATACGATCTAGAAATCATGAACAGCAGGGCTTTTATTTAAAAAAAATTACATAATTTTAAATTGAAAAATTTTTTTAGCTTCAATTTTGGACGCGGTCAAAAGATCCAGATAAAGACAAAGTACACTAATTCAATTGTATAATTGTCGATTTCTTCAAACAACTCCTGAAAACCATACAAAGCAATTTTGGAATGTATTTCAAGATGCATTAGATAGCAATATTCGCGGAATTGATGGTAAAAGAAGAATATTATCTATTATTGCCGATACATTTCATATGAAATGATAAAACGAAATTTATCAGTTAGTATCGAAATTTACAAAATTATAAAAAAAAATCTAATAAATTTATATAATACCTGTAATTATTAGGTTTCCAATTATTCTTAATGGTCCAGGAGGATGTTCAAATGGAAAACCCGAAAATTACTCCTCAAACGACTATCACCTGAAAAAAAAAGATCAATTTGAAAATTTTTTTCAGAATAAAGCAAACGTTATACATTGTCGCAATAAGTCACGTGATCAAATAACACATAATAAAGCACGACTTCATTCGATTAAAAATTCTTTTTGTTTAAATAGTATTACCTACAAAAAAATACAAATAAAAAAAAAGTTAGACCCGTTTTTAATAAATAATAAAATAAAAAGAAATAAAAAGAAATTTTCGAAGTTAATTTTATTATATTAAAGAAACAGATCATTATACCTTCACTTCTAAGGGATTTGAGGGACCGACCACCTAAAAAAAAGGAAACGTTAATGATCATTTCGTTAAAAAAAGATGAATTTTTTTTTTTAAAAAAACCTGATATCTACCTTGAGATCCATTGTTAACGCAACTACGCGACTTTTAATGATTACATTGTTAACATACAATAAAATCATGTGGTTATACGACCTTTTATTGTATTCTTAAAAAATAAATTTTACATCATAATACTCTTTAGTAAATAATTAGATTAGATTTACTTTTTTGTTACTTTATTTCTACAACTTATGTCATTATATTAAAAATTTTAAAAAATAAATTTTTACATGAATAATATACAATTTGCGAGATATTTTTGATAATAAAATTTTATTTTTCTTTTTTCTTTTTCTTTTTATTTTTTTGATTAACATTTGATTTTCTTTTTTTTTTGATTATTATTATTGTTATTTATATGAATAAAAGATTCAGGAAATAAATCGTTATGTGTGAAAAATACTAATGAATGCCTAATACCAGAACATGGAAGATTTCCATGTACTANAATGTTTCTTTTTATTTTTAGGTTTCGGCATCTTTTGGAACGGATGATGATATTTTTATATCAAAGACGATTTTTAACGTGCGTGTGGACCGAATTTTGATTATATTAGATAGTTGCTATAAACATGCAGATATTTAAAGTGTTTAATAAATTCAGATTTGTAACTAATATTAAAGCCAAATTAATAAATACTGAAACTAAATTTGGGTCGTCTTTAGACCATAATTTGACATAAAGTTTTGTGTCGAATATATTACTAATATTAGGTTGAATAAAAGAACGAATAATGACCAAATAATTAGTTTGAATATCAGTCATTATAAATTTTTTAAAAAAATTAAAAAATTGTTGTGATTCCAACTAATTTACTGCCACCACATCACGCGAAGCTTCAGATTTTAGAAAAGTTGAAAGTTTGAATTTGTGGAATAATGAAAAAAAAGCAATTAATATAAATATTTCATAACTGAAACTAACTTTTTATTAATTGGATAATTGCTATTGATGCTAATGTTGATCCAAAATTCTTTCAAGAAACTATTTTTTTTTTATTCAATTTACAATGATTGGATGCACATTCGTTGTAATAAGTCACGTGATCAAACAACACATGACTATTCGATTAAAAAATTTTTTTGTTTAAATATTACCTACAAAAAAATACAAATAAAAAAAAGTTAAAACCGTTTTTAATAAAGAAAAAAAATAAAAAAATAAAAATAAAATTTTCGAAGTTTTTATTATATTAAAGAAATAGATCATTATACCTTCATGTCTAAGGGATTTGAGGGACCGACCACCTAAAAAAAAGGAAACGTTAATGATCATTTCGTTAAAAAAAGATGAATTTTTTTTTTTAAAAAAAACCTGATATCTACCTTGAGATCCATTGTTAACGCAACTACGCGACTTTCTAATGATTACATTGTTAACATACAATAAAATCATGTGGTTATACGACCTTTTATTGTCTCTTTAGTAAATAATTAGATTAGATTTGCTTTTTTGTTACTTTATTTCTATAACTTGTCATTATATTAAAAATTTTAAAAAATAAATTTTTACATGAATAATATACAATTTGCAAGATATTTTGATAATAAAATTTTATTTTTATTTTTTCTTTTTCTTTTTATTTTTTTGATTAACATTTGATTTTCTTTTTTTTTGATTATTATTATTGTTGTTATTTATATGAATAAAAGATTCAGGAAATAAATCATTATGTGTGAAAAATACTAATGAATGCCTAACACCAGAACATGGAAGATTTCCATGTACTAATAAATTAGACCTAAATGCTAAAATATTTCCAGGTTTTAATTTTATACGTATATTAAGTTGTGGAAATATTAAATCACCACCTTTCCATTCACCTAATGGTACAAGCCAACAAAAACCATATTTATCATCATCACGATCTATATGATATCCACAGATAGTATTGAAATTTACAGCACACATTATTCCAAATACCTTAAATAATTTTTTAACCTAGGAATTTATAATAAACCAAGAATTAAGTATTTAATTTATGAAAATAATGATATTTTTTTTAATTATTTACCTGCGGTGGAAAGCAAAGATTACTTAAATTTCTATACATTGATGGATAATAAAATTCCATTATATTTGCTATATAATCTGCCACCTCATTAATTTCATATATATAGCATTTTGTCAACGCAACTATTAAATATTATAAAATAGTAATGTTTAAAATGCCAAATTATTATATAAAAAAATCAAATAAAAACGAACAAAAACATACCAAGAATGATTAAAATATTCATCATTCTTAACTTTACACATATAATCCTGGGACATTTATTATTGCTTCGAAAAATCCCAAAGTGCTGTGTAAAGGGTTGTGTTCCCAAATCTGATAGAACTTTTGATTAGTTTAATTAATTTAACGAAATAGCACATAAGTAATAATGTATTGTATTTTACCTGGAGATTCATAATTAAAACCTTTAAATTTTGGTGGATCATGGTTGAAATCATTGTGAATATGAGTCCAATATGATTGAACAGCATGATCTGCATTTATAATCAGCTGCTCTTTTTCTTTTGGAACTTCAAATAGACGAAATAAAGTTGCTTTGTTCTCATCTATACAATAATTACCTAAATATGATAGTAGTTAATTTAATGTAACAAATTCAAATACAAATTTAATTAATATATATATACCTTCAATTATTTTAAAATTAGATAAATCATAATGCATAGAAAAGAATCCACCGTTTTAAGATCTTTATTTTTTCTCCAATCTGATTTATAACAACTGGTGGATATTCTTTTAAATCCAAATTGATATCATTTGGATTATTTTCTTTATATTCTTTTATATTCTTTATATAACAGGTTATTATTTTTTTTTTATCGACTTTTTTTAATAGTTTTTTGTTTTTATGTTCCTGGTGTAATGATAATGCTGGCTGTGAGGGCTGTGATGATGATGATGACGATGCTTCTGGGTGATACCGCTCCTGATAATCGACAAATCCAAATTCATCTGCATATTTTAATAATATATCATTTAATTTGCTTTTGAAGGAGGGAAATAAATTTCTACTTTTCCTTTCCTTATTTTTCACATAAGAATAATTATCAGATGTTGATAATCCATTGGATATATTATTAACTGATACATACACTTCATCAATATATTTATTATATTCATATAGGACTACTTTATGTAATTTATATAATTGAAGATGATCTTTTGGAATTACGAGTAATGACTGCAACAACGTAGGCGGCATGATATTTTCAGCAAGATCAACAATTTTTTTTTTAGTTTATCAATGTCTTCGTGAACTTTTTTTGATTTATTATTTGTGGTGGTAGTGATGGTACTGCTTGTGCTGTTGCTGCTAGTGGTAGTAGTAGTGGTGGTGGCGGTGGTGGTGCTTGTGCTATTGCTGCTAGTGGTGGTAGTAGTGGTGGCGGTGGTGGTGCTTGTGCTCGTGGTGATGTTATTTTTTAATTTTATTAATTTAGAATTAATTTCCTCCTCCAAATTCTGAACTTTGGAGCTAAATTCTTTTAATTTATTAAAGGTCTCAAAGTCAACAACATCATCGATCTGATTTTGGTGAACAGATATCAGATCCTTTTCACATCTTAAACTAGCACATCCTGATGAATCCTTATATAACTTAAAATCATCATCATTCAATTTTCTTGTATTTCCCTGGGTAAATAATGTCTCTCTTAATGTTCTGGAAATTGTAGGCTTTATTATATTATTAAGAAAAGAAATAATTAGTGACATTCAATTTAATAGTTTGATACTAGTATTACATTGATCCATTTTTAAAAATATATTATGTTTTTGAATAATACTACTTGTCTATAAATAAGTCGGACTTCAAAGTATTACTCTCCACACCGAGAAAATATAGGATACAAAGCTCCATGTATCTTCCCATAAATAGATTTTTAAAAATGATGTTAAAAACAATTAATTAAAAAATATTTATATACCGTAAAAGTTTGTTTGTTGCTGTTATCTCTAACAACAACTCTAGCAACTTGTGCACTTCTTGTTGTGCTTGGACTTACGGATTGTTGTGATCTTGATAAGCAGCTCATTATCATAAATTATAAAAATGTGATAAAAAAAGAAGAGAAAAATCGAGAGGTATTTATAAGATTGATGAATCATACCACAAATTTTGCCTTATACAATATCGTATTAAATCAAACTAATTCATGTGATGATCTATAATTAAGATTTAACTAAGCCATACATATCTAAGCCTTTAGCTTAATTATTCATTATGGGGCTTAAAAAAAAGGTTAGGTATCGGAAAAACTCATACTGAAGCCACAAATTTAACAATGGTAATTCATGTGATGATCCAGATTTAATAAGCCATATATAAGCCTTATTTGTAATTAATGTAAACCTTTAATTGTGTAATTTAAGTAGTTTGTGTAATTTCAGTTTGTTATATATTTGCAAATATACTTTTTTTCTATTTTCTTTTAGTCTTATTTTATAATGCTTGTATAATAATAAATAATAAAATTGTTCAGTGTCATAATTATGTAGTATAATTACAAAAAAGTTAAAAAAAGTTCGTATTAAAAAATTTGAAACCATATATAGTCTCTAGAGTTAAACTGACGGCATCAATAACGACCGCCTACACGGATCATTTCAGCCCCATAAAGTTTTTTAGAAATTGATCACATGTCTGAATTCTTCAAGAGTAAAAAACTAGAATTATATTGTTATTTTAACGTTATTGTTTAATTCATAGTAGTTTCAGAATGCTTTGATGTTAAATTTAAACGAATCAGGTAAAATAATTTATTTAAAGTAATTTATTATTTTATTAATAATGGTTTTCTTGTCTAATTTTATTTAATTATTTTAAATAATAGATCTCAATAAAATTAATCGGATTTTTTCGAAAATAGTCAGAGTATTATTTAATAAATTTTAGTATTTAAAAAATTTTATTAGCTTAGATTTAATATTATATCTTAGCGGAAATTTTTATGGCAGGTTCTTGAGATTCGAGACATTTAAAGATTTTTTTCTAGAAATAGTATTCCGTCTGTTGAAACAAGTAATATTTCAATTTAGGTAAACGCGGTAAGATAATATTATTTATTAATTAAAGCTTTAATTTGCGATCCACGAGTCAACTGCAAACGATCTGCAGAAAATGGGAATCTGGCGTGGCGTCAAATAAAAGTAAAAATATGTTGTTGGTATTGAAAAAATTACTAACTAATGATCGACATAAATTAATTTTTTACAGTTGACTCACGGATCACTGACGAATTAAAATTTTTTTTAATATTGGATTTAATATAAAAAAAAATGAATTAACTATCATACCATTATATTATATGAATATACTTAACAGTTAATGTTAACGATAATGTACTTTTTAAAGAATATGAAATGAAATTGGAATTTTGACCGTTCTTTATGTTGAATTCAGTTACATAGGTAGCATCTTCACTTAATATTTCAAATATTATAAATACTTTAATATGAAAATTAAATGTAATCATTGAACAAAAAAAAAATCATCATATCCCTTTAATTTAATCAAATTCACCATATACTACGGATTTCCTTTATTATAGTTATAAAGAATAAGAGAGTGGTAATTAACGATATTACACACAGTGAAAAGTGCTTTCGACAGAATATCTTCACGCGATTGTCGAATATCATTGAAATTATAGAAAAGCCTGATTGCCGATGGATAATAGTGTTTCTGACCTTAACTAAAAAATGATTAAGCTCGTTTCATATCATATGAAAAAATATATCAATAACGCTGTTAAAATAGTGACATTTAAAGCTTTTCGATTCTTTATAGCAAATTGTTAATTGCCGACTAGGAAATAAAGTTAAATTATTCATATCAAGAGAGGGAAATAATGAAAGTGGAAAAATATATCATATCTTTTCAGTTCATCACCGTGCTGTTTTTACATCACTATACAAACATTATTAACAGTACACTTTAATACGTTTCATTTGATAATTAGCGTCTATTTATTAAAATTTAATACTGTATACTGCAAATTAACGAATAAATTTTTTATACATATAAAAAGTTATAATGAATAATATGTATAAGCTATACCCTATTATTTATATTATATTATAGAATAAAATAATAATATTTTTTTTTAAAAAAAAATAAAGAAAAAAATATTAATATATTGATATGTATACAAAATATTTCATAAAATATTCCCTATAGGATCACACTAGTTCTGTTTGACCGATAATTTCATATATTAGTTTATAAGATAATCAAATTTCAAGAGAAAGAAGAAATAAACAGTACTTGTACATAACTATAATCCGACTAAATTAATAGCAGATAAAATAATAAAAAATCGACGTAACCGCTTATTGCGTTATATCAGTATGAGCCAATAATAATACATATTGAATTGAGCCTAAGATAAACATTTTTACTATTTTGGAGTGACTAATCTGACTGCTGCCCTCTATAAAAAATTTTCTGAAAAAAAACTCCGATGAATGTTAGAAAAAGAAAAATCAAAAATCAAGCTAAAATGCAAAGAAAATATTTTATTTATTCCCTATTTTTTTTTGTAAAAAAACAGATGAGAAAGCACGTCAAATTATTAAATTTGCGGATGAATCAATTTTTATTTATTACTATCATTATCAATTTCTCATACAGTAAATGTATCATATTCACCGAGTTTTCCAGAAATTACGTTTTACAGGGTTAGTTTAATTAGTATTTCTATTTATGAATAATAGTTAATGATCCTGAACTCGGTTCACGAACTCCTCACGTGTTATTAGTACCTAAGTCTCATTCTTTGACAAATCAAAAATCCGTAAAACTGCCGATCCATTTTTCCAAGAAATCTCCAGGACCAGCAGTCTCGGAAAAGTGCCAAGAAATTTTTTATTAACAGTGAATAAAATGAATTAATTAGTCTTCTAATACATAGTCAATCCTATGAATTGCTATTTGAAACGTATAAAGTACTTTATAAGCTTTCATTATATTTTTCTTGATTGTACGATCACTGAAAAAATCATCATCATCAAAAAGTGATTTACTTTCTTCGGTTTCGTTCTCATTTTCATCGTTTTCAAATTCATAATAGTCTTGATCATTATCATAATCATAACCGTCTATCATATCTCCAGAAGATTCTGTGATATTTTTATTGTCTACTAAAATATTGTGTCTAGTAAGATCATTATTTACATGATCATTTTTACTTTCGAACGTTTTGTCACATACGACACACCACTTTTCTTTCCCTAAATTGAGATTTTTGTCGATATTAATAGAATTAGTTTCATCAGATTTACAAAGTAATCCTTATACCTTGAACAATAACGTGGATATCATCATCGTTAAGCAACTTTAAAGTGCTGATTCATCTGTTAAATGGAAAAGAATTAGAAAATCCCGCATCAAAGATTATAAAAGCATTGAAGTTGCTCAAATCTCGTATCGTTTCGGGAAACTTGCACTGCCCATAACTTAGTAGTACCAATAGTACCAATGGACAATATTCTGAAATATACCCTTTGCTTCTTTCAGGGTCGCTTTCTTAAACCCATAGACACTTTTGTGTTTTCTGACAACGACCACGAACTGGCTCTCAATTCATAGGGTTGCCCATAATAAAATAATATACGTATTTAGAAAACAATTTCAAATGTATGATCAACCTGCTATACGCCAAAGCATTTGTCAAAAATATCATTTCATATGAAAACCTCACTTACCTTAGTCTCTTGATTTCATAACTCCTCAGAGTTAAAAGGAAAATATGAATCGAGAAAGATCAATTGATCTCACGGAAAATGCCGTATGATGGCGCCATATCTGAAGGACTATATTGTTTCTCACTTTAGCATAATTGAGTTGTCATTTCTTTCGCTACTGATAAAACTTATAACAACTAAGCCACCGAGTCTATTTTATTAGTCGAGGTTTTTACAAGTATATACATGTATGTACCCTCAAAAAACTTTCAACTTCTTTTTTAACTTACATTTGTTCACTCTTATTACTAGTAATCATCGAAATGGCACAGTCGTTCAATTGTTTATTTTTAAATCCTGATGTTTTAATTCCAGTTTCCTTTTTCAATGACAATATTGGAAAATTCACCATGTTTAGTCAGCAAGGTGTTTCAACAACAAAAAGCCTATTCACCAGAGTGGAGCATTGCATCGTTGGATACGAGGATTGTCGTTTTAGACGTGGATGAGTTTCTCTCTCAGTTCAGCGAATTTTTTACAAGCCTTATAAAAAATTTTATCCGTTATTTCTGTAAAAACACCGTAAAAATGAGCCTTTCCCGAATCTATTCACGGAAAATGTAGATAATTCGATAAATTCCGTTATATGTATAAGGTTATTAATGGAATATGAAAAACGGATCGACTTTTTTACAGGGTTGTTGAAACGAGCAGTGCTAAAATTTTGGTTCGTTAAAGAAGAAACTGCCTTGGAATTATTTGAATATGGGTCGCACTATTGCATAAAAGCGATGTTAAATTACAGATTAGTGAACCCTTTGTAATAAATAGAGTCTGCATTGCGATATTTTAGATATTTTAAGAAGTATACCGATATTTCTTTGTATATGATTTTGACCAAATGTCTAATATGGATTTCTTCCCATCTAGTATGAGAATATATATTGTGGGAGAGAATCTTATTTCCAGTGCAATCATGAAGCTTTTCCAAGACGAAGATGTTCATGATATATTTAAAAAACCGCTTATATACAACAATTGAAAGATTTATGAACCACCTAATGGCAAACCCTATATTCTATCAACGCATAGTACTACTGGTTATAATCTACCAAATTTTTTGGAAAATCCCATTTCTCCTTTTCTTTTATCCGGAATCTCAAGCAGGACCAGATGTAGTAACAGTAGTATCCGGATGATTCGGATAAGAAGTATGTATGTTGTCATTTATGTCATATATACAGATAATTTATATTAATAAAGTATTGTATTTGATTTTAGATATCTTGTCTTAATTCAAGCTAAGTTTTGAGAAAAAAATGAAGGCGATGATCTATTAACTGCCAAAAAATGGCGGTATTTTTTGTATTTCATCAGTTATCCTGCTACAGTGAAATTACAAGAGGAAATGGAAGTTGAGGAAATGGAAGTTGATAGGGATAATGCGGTAGAAGAATGGATTGCAAGTAATTGTGGACAAAAAACATATTGACATGTTCAAGGAGTTAAAGAGACTAAAAAAGAGGCCAATTAGATCTCTTAATTCATCTAATAAGAAGTTAAAATTTTAATATTACTTCAAATCAAATTAATAAACGCAAGTTTTTAATGTATTGCATAGATTGATGATGATACATTTATAATGGATTTTTCCTAAAAGTTCCCAATGTTTTTTGTATTTGAATTATTAATAAAAAACCATCCGGATGAGAATAGCGGAAAGGAACTGCCTTCTTATAGGTTCCATTTAACTTTCATAATCATAATCAACAAGACAAAAAATAAATGTAATCTTTTATTTTTTTGCAAATATTATAGTATCATAAAAAATCATCAAAACAAAGAAGTTCTTGATATTATAAAGAATGATAAATTCAGTTAAATTCTTGTAATATTTTTCTCGTAATCTAATGATAAGTAACCTGGAAATTACAATATTCTTTTCATTCATAAACTCCATACACTTATTACCCATCTTAATCAATCCTTCAGCAAGTATAGTAGTGGACGGACCAAAATATCACTGATCATTCCAATCTTCACTAATGGACTTGACCACCAACTTATTTCTTTATAAATACAATACCATTCGTTCTGGCTTCGTATTCATCATTGCACCCTAGTTCCTTTTCAGAAGACATTCTTCTACGTTATTAGTATGAAAAAGTGAAGTATTATTTATTTACGTTATTTTAATTAGAAATATTTTCTTCGTGTTCTGACAGGATTGATAAATAGAATACCACAAAAAATATTGTTCACATTGCGAAGTGATACTCTCCAGGTATTTTCATTCCCAAAAATTCTACATCCCTATAAAAAATTCATTTTTCTAGTTTTTATTCCGAAGAAACTCAGACACGTGATCATTTTTTGAAAAATTATTTACAGGGCATGTAGTGGAAGGAGCTCCGCTAAATAGAGAAATCCAATTCTGGACATGAAGTCGTTTCATACTTGACACTAGTACTAGTCTAGTACTACCAATTGAGAAGTAATGTCAACTATTCGGGATAAACATTCTCCGGGTAAAGAAATAAAATAACTCCGGTATTTTTTTTTTTGTTGATCGATATGAGACTAATGCAAGGCGATTGCACACAAATTATGGATTAGCATTAATTATTACACGTGCAATAATTTCGAAAAGGTAAGATGTACACAGACAAAGATTAAATTAGTAGATAAGTCGAAGGAAATGCCCTTCAGGCATTTAATCCAGTATCTTTTTTGTAAACCACCGACAAGTGTAATTATTATAAGAAAAGATTAGGGCGACATTCCAAAGGAATATGTTAAATACTACTTAGAGCCAAAGTCCATTATAACACCCCTTTGTTCAGTCCCTATAAATTTATCCGTTATTTCTGTAAAAATTCCGTAAAAATGAGCCTTTCACGGATCTGTTCACGGAAAATGTAAATAATTCGATAAATTCCGCGATATAAGGTTATTAATTCCGGAAATATGAGTTTACAGAAAAAAGACGGAATATAAAAAACGGATTGACTTTTTTTACAGGGAGTTAGTAAAAGTTACACATAACTATTATCGCTTCTTCGATTTTTTTTGGCACATTACGTAATATATAATCTAGCGCTTTGCATAGAAAAAATACATAATCAAAACATCAGCCAGGTGATAACTAAATTGCGATCGCAAAAGTTGCTGACATATATGAAATTGTTGGATTGAGATAATATCAATTGTTAGTGCTGTATCAATTTTTATCTATCGATTAAGATTCATTCCATTTTTGTAGTCTGAAGAGATGATCAATGGTACGATGCAATTGAAGTGAAACTGGCTAAAGCAACTTGAATAAGCATGGCCGATCACAAAATAGAGCTAAAATGTATAACGTTTACCTGCATAATGAATACATCACGAACAAGAAATCTAGTATGAAACCTGAATACGAATAATTGGTGATGATAGGCTTATAAGGTTATTCAGAATTTTTAGTCCCACGACATACCGTAATCATTCCTGAATATCAATTTATTTAACATTAACGATACTTGCACATTTGTAAAAAAATAGTATGATAATGCTATATTTTTGTGTGAAAACTGGGATTCTATAGGTCCGTCCCATTTAGGTGATTGCATTTCTTGCTAAAAAAAATTTCCTAAATACGATTCAATGTAAAATTTGTTTTGAGTAGTAATAAAGGATGCTATTAGAAGTATAATAAACAGATTTGTAGTTTAAAAGATCAAAACTTTTGTTTCAGTGTCATTGGCATTGGTCATGATTCCTGAACCTCAACTATACTGATCGATAATAATAATACTATTAATAATGGGATGTTTCGAGCGTACAATTTTTGATAAAATATTTATTTTATTATATTTTCGGGTTGGGACAAATCAATCATAAAGCAATTTGTGGAGTTGGTCAGTAATTTTAGTTTTTTGGAATTGGAAAGTGAGAGTTACCTTGGGCCAACTTCTCGTTCAAAGCATGGCGATATAACTTTGTCATGAGCCGCTTAAATTTTACTAATATAACGAAGAATGAATTTTCCGGTTCTATGATGTAGTTGTTTTGATAATACTAAAACTAACAAGTTTGGAATGTCTTTATATTTTTACCAGGGTTAGCAATTATGAACGAAGTGTATGTTTTACAAGAACAATTATGTATAATAATGAAAACAGAAATTTTTTTGGGCTTTCGCTGAAGATACTAAAGAGAACAGGTCTTAGTATCGTTTAAGAAATGTACTAATTTGCTTACGATATCATACCCCAACCCTCATATGGGAAAGCCAATTTCTCTTTAATATTCCTTTGGTTCCATACTAGCCCTAGGCGTCAGTCGGCACCTCCAAGGTTGACAATTAACACAGAAAGGATATCTTTACGTAACTTGGCGGTTTCAACTTACCACAACGATAAAGAAACCAAACGATGGCTACAATCGTATCAATGATGAGTTAAAACTTTGAGCGTGTAATCTGGCTTTGTTCGAGCTGTTCCAATAATGATTGTAAAGTATCAAATTTCTATTCAATCAGATCCTCAATAATCCTAAAGATTCCGTGCTGAATGATAGTCATGAAGCGAGCCTTCTAAATATCCTTATCCTTATTTTCTTCAAAATTCCATTCGCATAAATATGTTCAGTGAGATATTTTAGGTTTTTTTATTAAACGGTTGAATAATTAAATACATAAATACTAATATTATTTTAAAAAAAAATGTACAAGTAACTAAATAAATCAAACTCTAAAATTTCTGCGTACGGAAGTAAGAACCTGGGGTCCGATCCTTTTTTTCATTTTAATTTTTTTTTTCTATCATGAACTATTCGTTACTACTACTACTCGAGGAAGAGAAGGAGCGGTTCCAGTCACTAATCTTAAAACACTATTTTCTTCTTTGCCCGAAAGAGTGGGGATACGGTGGCTTCTATTTGACGATCAGTTGATTGTAGTTTCAGATGTAAATGTACCTTCTCTCTGACTTCTTCTATAGTTCTTAATTCATTATTGAGTCATTACTTAAATAATCAGCCATTTCTGGCTTTTTCTTTTTTTAGCTCAGGATTAGAAAGTCATCAAATGCTTTTGAAGCACATTAAGTTCCCTTGATATACCTCTATAACATATTTTAAATAAAAGTACTATACATGCCGACGATAATACTAATATTGGTATAGTTGCTGGTATAACTGTATATCTTTGATATAGCACGTAAATTATTAATTGTGGTACATCCTCAATAAATGCTATAATAATAATGGATCTATCAACTCTTTTTTTTCCTCCTCCTGTAAATTTTGCGTTTAGTGCCTCACTACCAGCACATCGAGATGTTACAACATTTAAAGCTTCTAAATCTATCAATGACAAAAGTACAAATCCTAATGCGACTATTGGATAGTCCTTCCACCAATTTTCAGCATCTTTTGATGAGTTTAATTGATAATAAACAAGATACCATGAAGTTATTATATTAAAGAATATTGGTACTAATAAGAATACCCAACTATATCAAGTGAAAATTATATAAATTATATATAAATATAATATATAAAAGAATATAAAAAAAAATCGAGGAGATACGCACCCACAAATGTAGAACCATTTTAGATCACTTCCGTGATCTCTTAATACTATAATATCTAAAACAAAATCTACTAAAATAAGCGGGTAAAAAATAATCGTCGAGAAATTTTTTCCTTTCGGGAAGTTGTTCGCCGCAAAAAACCATATAGATAGTAAGAAAGACAATCCACTCACAACTCCAATTAATGCGTATCTACATATAACCCATAAATGGGCTTTTTTTAAATATTTGAAATACATATTAGTAAATAAATCAAATAATTCTTCAAGAAATTTAACGTAATTTTTCTTGTAAACCTACGATTTTCTGGAGCTCCATAAGTGCTATCTAAATCCCTTGTATGTAATCCTAATGATATGTCTTTATATGTAATAGAATTGTTTAAATTTCGTCTTAGCATAAATGAACTTGGTTGATCTGGTCCTTTGGTGCCTTTAATATTTACGAGTAACAAAATTTGGTCTTCACTCGTGTTTTTCTTATATTGATATCTATCATATGATATAAAAATACGACTTTTTTCAATTGAAAGCGCCATTGAAATTTCGTTAGACATATCATTAACATATGTTTTTTTATTTTTTAAATAATTTTTCGTTCCATTTGGAGTTAATAGAATAGTTGCACTCGTGTCACCTAATTAAAGGGAAAAAAAAATAAAAAGTAAAAAAATGTTTCACTATCTTAAATTTATAGAAATAATAGTGAATTAAAATAATTTACCCGGTTCATTATTTCCACTACCAGGTGTTAGAACTTTTTTTTTAAAAAAAAACAAAATACAAAATCAGTTTATTTATAAATAAATGGAAGAAACCGTAAAAATAGAATATAAAAAAAATATTCGATTAAAAAAAAATATATGTATTTTTAATTTTTTTTCAACTTAAAAAACATATACAGTATCTCCAATTACCTGTAGGAATTTGTGAATTTGTTATTTCAATTGGAAGTAATAAAAGTAAAAATGGTATTAATGACAATTTAGGAATCATTTTGATAATAATGGTTTATTGTCGTTATATAAAGTATATATATATATATATAAACGCTTAGTGATTTTAGCTTAAATAGTAAATTATATTACTGTTGATATTAAAGAAGTAATTATCATATAATTAATTCTAAAGGAAAGAGGTTAAAATTCTATTCAAATGAATTTTTTTTCGAGCCATTGCATATATAGATTACTAGTTTGGACGTTACACCAAAATCTAACCATAATTATGGTGTCATTTAGCTTTACCATGTTCCATTTTGTGATCTGATGACTGAAAATTCGTAAATGAAATCCCAAACTTGGAAAATCCTAATTATAGTACTTCTATTATTACTTGTTAAAATATTGCGGCGCAAATGAACTTTGTGATTTTACGCCACAGACAATTAATTTGGACCGTGCAAACCGCACATTTTCCGCTTTAGAAATCTCGCCGGTTTTCGTTTAACATGGTCTTAATTAATGATTTTAATCTATTAATATGTAGTAATGGCTTGATAATGTTATTGTAAAACTTTTATTATGATATCATAATTCAGGCGGTTCTGTTGAAATTCTTTATTTAAGTTCTATGAAAAGAGGGAGTAATTATATTGATTTTCCGTGAGCGTTGAATAAAATTATGATGGATAGGATTAATAACGATAAATTTATATTGATTTACTTAGATTTATTGTAATCCTCTACCGAATTAACTTACATCGAAAAACTCTCGCTATTCTAACTAGCGAAAAAATTAAACCTCTTTCTAATGCATTCTTTGGTTCAGAATAGGTTCCAAATTGATAAATACTGCTCGTACTAGTCGTATAATATTTCCTAGATTCATAATAGTCGCTATATAAGTTTGATCCGGCGGTAAAGAACCTTTAAACACCATCCCTATAAAATATTGTCAAACACTGTTCGGTTTTTTGTTCGGAACCGTTCCGATTTACTTGACATTTATTGGACATTCATCATGATATTGTACGTTTTTTGTGGTTAAAAAAGTTCTCAATCTTCGCATCTTGTATTAAATTGTAACAAATATTGTATAATAGCGTGCAAGTGTCCGGAAAATTGACCCCATTCCGAATATTTATCGGACAAACATTTTTTACATGGCAACAAACATATACATCTAAATCACGTCATGATAATAGAATAATTTAAAGATCACTTTAAGAACGCGTGCTTTATTGAATAAAATGCGATTACAATAATAAAATATTTAAATAAACTTGAAAAGAAATAAAGGAAAAAGAATAAAGAAAACCAATAAAACTGCTTCACTAGCGATCTGCAATATATCCGAAGATAAGTCCCCCAAAACAATTCAGAATAAGCGTACAATAAAACAATTACAGTATCTTTGACAAAACTGAAGAAAATTGAGGTCGAAGAATATGATGAAAATTATAAATATGATAATTTTCAAGGATATGTTGATAAAATTTTAGTCAAAATTCGGCAGAAATAAATGTGTCAAGGTCCGAAGATAGAACTAAGTCGGAACTACCAAATTCGGTATAAATTATACATTGTATAATTTGTACTAGATATAAGTTATTCAAAGTATACTGAGCAAGGGTAAACAATCCAAATCGAATGGTCGTCAGGTCACATGATCAGCTTTTATTGCGTAAAACAATCTGTCTTTGTTTAAAAATAAATGAAATAAAATATATCACTGTTTCGACTGTGGCAAATCACGATTAATTGTTTAATTGTATTTGTCAATCAAGATTCATCTAAATTATTTATGATAATTCGAAATAATCTTTTTTTACAAAGAGGTAAAAATTCTTTTTAGGTGGTAACATACGGCTTAGTAAACTCCACTATATGCGGAAAATCCTGTTACGTTTGATTAAAATGGGATTTAAGACGTTCAAATGCCCAAGAAAATTATAGGCTAGCAGAGAGAAAATATTACAATGATTTTTAGTAATTCTGAGAAAATGATTGTAAAACCGTTATTACCTAACTTTACAAAATAATAGAGAAAACAACAAACTCTATAAATAGTAAAGATAACAATACACAATATCAATTATCAAAGAACTCTTGTGTATACTATTTACTAATGATTCGTCAGATAAAGTGAACGCCAAATAGGGTTGAGAAGGACCGGTCTTAGGACCGGTCTTCACGGTCTTTGGTCTAGGATTTGAGGATGGACCGGACCGGGACCGATTATATAAAATTTTTCATCAAATAAAAAAGATGACAAATTACATATTACTAGGTACGACGAGACATTTGTGAAATCGATACGCGTAGTATATAGTCCTTCGGACTAATTAATCAAGGTTTCATATTGAAACATCAAAATTTTCATATTTGTTACATGATCAACATCAATTTGTGCGTTACAGGTTTATAATTTTTTTTAATAAACATATTTTTTTCAGTATTTTTATTCTTAAACTTATTTGAGTCATACTTTGATGGTAATAAATAATAAATTAATGCCAAAATTTCTGGATTTCTATTATCTTGCTGATCAATGATCATCAACTCCACTATACCGCCGTTATAAATAAAATAAATTTGAAACTTTAAAGACCGGTCTTACAAATGGTCAAAAGACTGGTCCGGTCCATTCTGGCTGAAAGACCGATCTTTTTGGGACCGAACTGGACCGAACCGGACCGATCCAACCCTAACGTCAAAGTAAAGAATAATAAGAGAAAATTCATGCTAGCGACCTTTTTTCAGATTTTATTATTTTATTATTTAATAAATTCATAAATACAAAATATTCTATTAAAGAAAAAATGAAAACATAATACATCAATAAACCACATCTATTGTATAAGATCGAGCATATCGATTTGTTTCAAAACCTTTTCCCTATATTCATCATCTGATTTCCATTTTCCATTGTTAATTGCTTCTCGAACATATTTACGCATAACATCCTTTCTTACTTTATAATGTATAACTTCTGGGAACCAATGTTTCCATCGTCTTTGAAATGGGAATAGATAAAAAAGTTCAATTTCAGCCAAAATTTCAGCTTTTTGAACAAGTTAAGAAGCTCTATCATTATCTCTTTCAATTGACATATTAAGAAGTCCGATAAATAGATTCATAAGATAAATAACTATTAATAATGAGAATAAAATCATTAAAATTATAAAAGTTGCATTATCTGTTTTTAAATCCAAATCTCTTATTGAACTTGTTATTAAACCAGTATCAGATAAAAATAAATATGTTGCAAGTAATGAATTTTGAAATGATAAAAATAAAATCGTACTATCATTAGAAAATTCATCAATTAAAAGTAAATGAAATGAAAGTGCAAAACTTGCAATAATAATAACCAATATTAATAAGAAAGAAGAGATACGACGAATTACTCCAAAAATTATTGCAAAATATATACCAAATGATTCAAATGCTCGAAAGAATAAAAGAAATTTTATGTTTAAAAATAAACAAGATAATGAAATTGCCCAATTAGGTATATTATTATGATTAATAACCCACAAAAAAGATGTGATCGTAGGAAAAAGAAATGCAGCTAAATCGAATAAATTCCAAATAGAATGCATATATTCTATTGGATTCCATATAAATTGTCTTAATTCAAAATATAATTGAACAAATCCAATAATTATTGTTGTCTTATAGAGATTGAATATTATTTGTTTTGAAAGATAAAGACAATGAACCAATAATAAAGCTAATTTGAAAAGTTGTAAATATGAACCAAATTAGAAAATAATAATATTCCAAAAGTTTTCCATTTATTGCTTCACCATTCAAATTTTTATAAAATTTCTTTCGTCTATCTAATTCTTCTTCAGTTGAATTACTATGATACATTATCTGATAGTTTGTACCACTAATTTCATTAAGAAAATACTTATTTATATAAATTGATCGAAACAAATAATAGATTAAACAAATCACGTATATTACGTATTTCTATTTTTATATTTTCTATATTTTCATTTTTTTCTTTCTCATAAATCTTATTATAAAAACCTTTCTGGCAAGTTTTTATAAAAAAACTTGAAGGCGGTTTATAGAATAATTCCTTTACCCAAGAATAATTTGAAGGATAACAACATAGACTATTATAAGCACAAGTTAAATAGATACTTTGACCATAACTTTTATAATTATAATATCTAATGGAAATAAAAAAAAGTAAAGGAATAGAAAGAATAAGATTTTGAGTAAAAATAAAGAATACATATAGTAATTAACATAATACCACTCAAAAATTTATAAATACGAAATAATTTCAAAACAAAACTAAATATAAAAAGAAAAGAAAAATAGCACATATGATAAAATAGAGTAAAGTAGGAATGAAATAATAAAATAAATAAATAAGATAAAAACAATAAAAATTGGATGAAAAAAAATTTTGAGATTAGAATACCATAAAGGTAACAACTTATTGTTTGACGATCAGAAGTTCAGAACTAACGTGATAATCGGAGTTAATAAGTTCGTTTTTTGTAATATAAACATATCGTTATTAAATTTAGTTAAATATTCAGGATATTTAAGAATTAATTCTGTCATTGAAGAATTTATGATATCTAAAAAATTTAAATTTTTTTCGCTATCTTTTTTAATAAGTTCAATGCATTTTCATAAATGCTGTTTACTAATTGATTATTTTCAAAACTAATAAAAATCTTCAAGTAATCTGAACCATATTTTAAGAGAGTAAAATAATCGGTTGTGATTACTTTTAGCCATTCTTTCTCAAGATGATCATCTTTATTTTCAAACAATTAAATTAATATCAGCTAGAGGTAATGATTCACTTTCAAGTTGATTGACTTCACTATGTAGCAAAAATTTTGTTTCTATTCTGTTTATTATTTTAAAAATTTTATTGATGATTTTGTTGAATTTATCATTTTTTGTATCATCATCATTTTCATCTTTTGAAGGATTTTCATCATGTTGTTCTTCATCACGTGACCAAAAAATTTGTTCATTACGGTAGAAATTTTATTTCAATTTTTCTAAAAGTTGAGTATAGAGGTAACGCACTGTAAAAGTGATACTTTACGTAGCATCATCACGGTATTTAGTTATAACCCACAAATCATATAGTTAAACAAGAGTATCTGCCTTCCTGTCAAGATCTCAAGGAATCAGAAACCTAAAAAAAGTAAGAAGGCGAACAAAATCAGAAAAAGGAAACCAAAATAAGAAGGAAAAAAAAAGTTACCTTTCGAAATCAACAAGACAAATAAGAGGGAAGCGTAAAAAAAAATTGATGATCCAGTAATAAAAAATTTATGCCCAATTGGAAATTTATTAGATCAGACTGAAGTTAATTATTTTAACAATTTAAAAACAGTATTACTTAATTAAGACAAAAGAAATTTAATAAAATTTTGAAAAATCGATTTCATCATACGTAATTCCTCAATTAATGGCAAATATGGCAGTTTTTTTGATGTTGCAATAGATCTACTATAATCAATATCAGATTATCGATCTTTATTTTTTAGACGCTGAAATCATGCAAATTTTATTGAAATGACCTAATAATTTAGTAATCAAAACTTATATTGTAAAAAAATTGATTCTCAGCAGTAAAATTTTTGTTACTATATAATATCATCCATTTGTCTCACTTTCAATTTCGATTTTTTTATGAGTTTAGTGGTCATGTGAAATTAAAATAAATAGTCAACCAAAAATTTTTAATAATGTGTACAACTTTTGGAATATTTTTTTATACTATCACAATTACGACATTACATTATTACACAGAAAAGTTTACCTAAAAAGGGGGTTGTCTAAAGCCATGTTCGATCATGTGACTTGACATTTTATGAATAAGCCATTTTTTTATGAACTAAGATTAATGTTAGTGTGAAGGTTATAAAATAAGTGTATTTTGGCCTGCTTTACAAGTTTACTTAGTGAAAAAAAGCTGGTTTTAAACACTGTTTTTGACTTTACATATGAACGAATAATCTTTACCAATCATATCCAAAAATGGATGACAAAAATGAAAAAATTCAAATAAGTCAAAAACGGTGTTCAAAACCCCATGTTGCGCACTAAGTAAACTTGCACATCAGGCTAAAATACACATACTATGTGTAACTTGAAAGTTTTATGTATTGGCAAAAAAGTTTTATTTGTGAAAATAAATTTTTACAAGTCACGTGATCGAACACGGCTTTAGACGCCCCCTAAAAAGGCAAATTAACACATGTGAACAAGCTTTTGTATTTATAAAAAAAAGTATATTATTTATTTTTTTATACTATCACTGGTTACGTTATCATAAAAGTTTACCTAAAAAGTGCAAATTAACACATAAGGCTGTAATGTGAACAAGCTTTTGTTTTTATAAAAAGAATTTGAATATATAAAAGGCTTAGTTCTTCATCTCTTTTTTTTTTCAAAATAATTTTTTTTGTGAGAGCTTTTCATACATAATTTCATAACAACACAAACCCATAACCCATCAGGATTTGAATATATAAAGGGCTTAGTTCCCTATCTCTTTTTTTTTCAAAATAATTTCTTTTCGTATGAGAGTTTTTCATACATAATTTTATAACACAAACCCATCAGAATTTGAATGTAAAAGGCTTAGTTTTCCATCTCTTTTTTTTCAAAATAATTTCTTTTCGTATGAGAGTTTTTCATACATAATTTCATAATAACACAAACCCATCAGAATTTGAATATATAAAGGGCTTAGTTCCCTATCTCTTTTTTTTTTTTAAAAAAAATCTTTTAATAAAATGATTAAATAATTGCTGATTTTTTTTTCTTTTTCTTGACTTTTTATAGGAATTTCCGATTTGAAACATGAATNTTTTTTTTTTGCAGTCAGCCAGTTTTTTCAAGTGTTTGGACACGTGGAAATTTGGTGAGGAAGATTTTTTTACTTTTAATTAACTCTTAATGAAGCGATCACTAACATTTCGTTATTTCTTTTGTAGAGACTTGTTCTTTGGAATATTTAGATGCGTGAAAAATTTGTGTGGGTCTTACTTTGAAATAATAATTTTATAATGATTTCAGTTTTTCAGATTTTTGGACGTGTAGGAAATTTGTGAGAGAATTTTTTTTTCTTTAATTTGAATCAGTTCTTTTAATGAAATGATTAAATGATTGCTGATTTTTTTTTCTTTTTCTTGACTTTTTATAGGAATTTCCGATTTGAAACATGAATTTCAGGCAGGTCAAAGATTATTTTGAAAACTTTATTATAAACATTAATACTTTTTTAACATTTTATTTTATCCTATAGAAATCTATTATCGCCTCAGAACTCTGAGTAAGTTTTGAAAAACTTTATTTTAAAGAAAAAAGTATTATATATTAATGACTTTTTTTTTATTTTGTAGGACTCTGACCATGATTTAGAAATACCATATCTTAGGTAAATTTGCGATTTAAGGTTCAAAGACTATTTTAAAACATTTTTATTAATTTTTTTTTTGATTTTATGTAGGACTCAGATTTTATTTTGACCATTGTCTATGTGTCCTGAAGGTGAATAAATGAATTTAGAGAATTTTTTTCTTTATTTTTTTTAACTCTTTCTCTTTTTTTTTGTAGTTATCTTCAATTCAATTCATTTCGCCATAAACGATTCTTTTTATTACATTAAAAAGATCTCTTTTAAAGCTCGAAAAGTTAAAATACAACCAGTTGCATAAAATTCAATTAAAGTGGATAATCAATATCTTTGTTTTTAAGAATATAGGTAGTATTAATTTTTTATTAAATAACCTTCTTTTTTCTAGATTCGATTTCTGTGATTGTAGAAACAGAAATAGGTTTTTATTTTTTTTTATTGTGTGTTTTTTATCGTAATTTTTTTTTATTGAAATGTTTCTAACTTTCAATTTTTCTAATCAGGACTACTGGATTGATGACAGAAAGTTTGGTTTGAATATTGTTTTAGAAACGAATTCATGAAGTTGAGATCTCAGTAAATATTAGAATTTCTTTTTAAATTATATCTTTAACGAAACATTTTTAACGTTTTGACTTTTCTTTTTTTTTTAGATGATCAGATAGGATGCAACAGGGCCTTTAAAATACTATTCCCTCTTAAAGGAAACTGTTAGATAGCAATAAAATTATTTATAATAATTTTTTTAATGTATACAATTTATAATATTTTTTCTTTAAAAATTTTATTATAACAAAACTTGTGTTTTATTTTTTTCTATCTAGGTGATTTCTGGAAGTTTTTTTTTTTGATTCGAGATACTAGAAATGGTAAGTTTAAAAATTGTGAAACAATTTATTTACTATTTTTTTTTTAATTTGGAAACATTTTTTAATTTTAATTTTTTTTAATTTCAGATTTAAATATTTGAACGCCAAAATGGTAAATTATT